CACACACACACACACACACACACACACACAGTGCAGATGAGTCCTTGGCATGGCTGGAACTATGTGCATAGGACATAGCAGGGCAGGGTATGGGCACAGCCATAATGCCACCACTTTTGGCTGTTCATATACACACACACACACATACACACAGTCCGTACTCTGCAGCACTGGTGGCTTATATGTATGTTACAACAAAAAGGCAGAACATTCAACTCGCTCTGAGCTTATGAAAACCTAAAGGAATAAAATCACTATAAGCAACGAGCCAACGAGATCTGCGTTGTTTCCATCCTGATGTGCAGACAGGTTAAGGGTTAAATTATGGTTAAAAAATAAAATAGTGTAAATTTGATCTAGCCCAAAAGGTAATGTCAAATGCACTTAATGCATCCACAATGCTGAGTGTGTAACTGCTGCATTTTTTCCTTATGTACACTTCCAATATAAAAAAACCCAATTAAATACAAAAAGATACCTTGCTGAAATAATGTTAAGACTGTGACAAAGGGGAAAGAGGAGAAAGACCCAGCAACAGCCAGGAAATTCAAAGGTGTCACTCAACGTGGAGGGACAGGATGGCTTCTTAAGACCCTGGCCATCCCTATTCTTCACAGCACATGAAAAAATGTCTAACTCTCCTTATAAGACTTAAGGATTTTGTCAAATTGAGATGCTTTTCTGAACTGGGTCCATAGGTCCTAGGCTTGCCATGAGTCTGAAAGCAGGGCATGATAGCAAGATCAGGGTCATAGCTGTGCAAAAACTGGAGAGTGAAAAAGAAAATTAAATAATAGTGCTAATCAGGAATGGAAGATTCAAGTAAATTTTAGATTGTGGGCATTATTTTGGTCAGTGTCACAACCTTAATGTTATTTCTGTGATGCCTTCTCTTGTACTTAACTCCCTTTAACAGGGAAGAAAAAAAATGCATAAGATTATTAAAAAATCCATATTATTTGCCCGTGAGACGGGAACAGTTCATAGCTCATCAAGTCTGGCAAGGAAATATGTTCTCATTCAAGATAATATATATTTTTTGTAATTTTATTTTTTTAAAAAAGTTTATTATGTACCCGATTAACTGGAACAGCTCCGAAAGAAGAAAGAACTGGTCCATACATACATACATACATACACATATATATATATGTGTATATATATAGGGGTTTTTTTCGTTTTCTTTAAAAAATGTTTGTACAGATTCCATAGACCAGAAAACACTCTGAAATAGTAAAGAGCCTGCTGTCTATTAGGGCAAACATGGACCAAACAGTTCTGTTTAAAAAGTGTTTTAACACGACAGAGTGGAATGGCTCCATCACATCTCTCCGCATTTGGTATCATCTCTATTGGCAGTAGCAGCCATCACTCCGCTAGCGATGGTCATATTTAAAAATCTGCTGTGGAAAACGTTATTGTGCATGCAAAACAAGCTGATTTTCAAGACATTAACCACTCAGCCACTTTTTTTTATATGCAATACCAAAAAGGCCCCCTCTACACAATATAGGCTATGAGTTTGAAACCGTTTCATTTAAATAAATAAATAAAGTTAAACAAGACACAGAGCCACTTGTGAGTTACAAAGCCATAGGTGTGCAAATAAAACAAGCAGGAGCTAATATCTGCATCCTTTTAACTTACAAAAATGGGAAGGAGGGCAGACTGGAGTCATTTAGGCAGGGAAGATACGGCTCAGAAGAAAAAATAAACTCTGGAAGGAAATGGTTTGCAAGGCTGATATTTTACTTTCACTTTTACAACAGGAGAGGATGTTCATAGAGGGATTTTAAACCCCAGAAAACAGGGGTTTGTGGTGACACAGGCAAGATTTTCGCTATAGTGGTGCAAAAGGCAGCACTATTATACTGTGCGCTTTAAGAGCAGCCCATTATGGAATGTCAATATTAAAGCAAGCACAAGAATGGCTCTTTTAAAACAATTAAACGCCATTCCTAGCACTGGTTCTACATTCGATACATTCCTATTTTCTTGCAGTTAAAACTTTGAAGAAAAACTTTTTTTTTGTCCCTTTTTTAAAAAGTGCTTTTCTGGGCTCTGTGGAAGGGAGGTGTGTTTGAGAGATTTTTTTTCTGTTTGTTTTTTTGGAGTGACATTTGCTTTCACCGCTAACAGGCCTCCCATCATAAAATAAGTGCTAGTTCTATTTACAATTGAGGGTAAACACATTTTCAAATGTAAAGCAGTTGCAACTGTTTAAAGCACAACGATAGGCAACCAGATGCAAGAAAAAAAACAAGCACTTTGCCAAAAATTAAATAAAGCATGTAATAAATATGAATCATCAACTACTGTACACAGGAGCAAGGGTTTGGTTTTTTTTTTTAATCATTTAATCAATATAAAAAAGATTTTTTTATTTTTGTTTTCAGTGCATCTTCTTCCCCCTTAAACTGCTTAACACTTTCCTTTCTGCATCTCTCAGGCCCATATTAACACACACACACCTAAATGGCAAAAAAGACAAGGTCTAACAAACCCCTTTCGAAAAAACTCTAAAAAAATATTCACAGCCTCAAACATTTTTGTACATTTCAAGCAACAAAAGGTATAGAAAAAGGCACAAGTAACTGCATACATGTGGAGATAATACCAGACTGGGACAAACAAAACCAGGAATTTTCCATGGGTTTGGTCATACACTAGAGTGCTTCTTATAAGCAATGATTATACTAAAGGAAATAGTGTTGAAAATGTCTGTTGATTTTACATAGGAAGCCTACAGGTGGAACAGATGGATGGAGGCTTAAGTACTTCCTGTATTCTCATCCACCTGTCTTTGACCTAAATCTGCGCGCTCTAAGTGTGGACTGTTTTTCCTACGGGTTCCCCCTTGATGACTTGGCTCTCCCGAGAGGTTCCTTCTCCTGACAGAGAACTGGTGGGAGTGTGAATGGCTCAACGAGGGCTCTGACAAACAGCCAGTGCTGCTACTTCTGTCCAACGTCTGTGTGGGGAAATCTGAGATGAAAGTGCAGGATGATTCAAAGTAAGTGCTTGAGCTGCCACATTGCTTCTTGCCCGTTTTTTTCAAGGGTTCTTCCCTACTTGCTGAAGGCTTTGGAGAGTGCTCATAATTTGTGCTGAGACTGTCTGTGGGAGCTGAGCAGCCTTCCTGCTCTGGGTGGCTGGGCTCAGCATACATTTTTACCCTGTATTCCTCCTGTTCTGTCTTTTGCTGAAGCTCACTAGTCCTCAATTTCTCTTCTGAGTAGCCACTGCTTTTAACCTCTGGGGACAGTGTGTATTTTGAAATCTTTGCAGCTGGGGATACCGATGTCGGTGAGGATTCTTGTGGGATCTGTGGTTCCTTTCCCCTTTCTTGAACCTGGCTGAATTCTGTGAAGCTGCTGCTTCCATTGCCACCAGGTGCAAAATATCCTGCTTGCAGTGACACAACTGAATTGGGCACCAAACTGGAATGGGTACTTGGCCTTGCCTGGACCATCTGGATGCCCCCAATTGGAATCATAGGATATGGGGTCCTTGTTAGCTGCTGTGAATGCAACGGGAGATGGCTGAAGACATTCTCTTCCACTCGGCTCGGAGTGTGGACATGTATATCATGGGGCGCTTGCAAAGGTCTGGAGCAGACAGGCTGGGTGATGCCAGGTGAACATGTTGGGCTTCTTGGTTCTATCTTCTGCATTTGATAGGAAAAAAAAGAGTTGGTCAGTGTGGTACAGCCAGCATCATCAATCCATAGCATGAGTAACAAGTCACTGATTCTATTAACATCTTAGGCACCTGGCACGTTACATTTATTGTGGAATTAACAGGTTAATGGCACGATAACTTTAGACAGGCTACACATGCAAACTAGTTATTGCACCAAAAAAGAACATCCAGCTACAAAAATGACCAACTAGCTACAAAGATGTTGCTTGAAATATGTAAAACATTTTGTAGTTTGCAATTGAGAAAATGGCATGTCAGGTAATTGGTCTTTGCTTGGGTCCTTTGGTATCTCAAGGTACACTGTTCCTTTGGCTGCCTCACCAGCCACTTATTTGCTGATGCTGACAATCAGCTGATTGTCAGCACTGTTATGTGGAGGGCGGGTCCCAGCTTCAGGACTGAGATAGTCCCAGTCCTGATGTGAAAACGGGCTGTCAAGGGAATGGGTTGCAAGATTCACCAGGCTCCCAGGATCTGCTAGGAAGTTGGCAACCTTTCTTGGCCATAACATTGTGGGTCACTGGAGAGCTCGGCTAAGCACGTTTTTTTATATGTTCTATGGCAAAGAAACCCTAGGATGGGGGAGAAGTCCCTTGATCCTGGGGTCCTGGAGCCCTGGAACATCAAAAAACTACACACGTAGCTGGGTGGTCCTGGGGCTGCCCCAGGGCCAGCCGACAATCAACTGATTGTCAGACCCAGTCCCAGACAACCCGGGGTCTCAATCCTGACCTATGACTGTCTGGGTTGGGTCCAACAATCAGCTGATTGTCAGATCTGGCTCCAGAAAGCCTGGCGACTTGTACCTGCTGGGGCAGTCTTGGGTCTATGACAATCTGTGGGATCAGGCTGGGGGTAGCTCCGTGGTTGTATGATTTGGATCAGAGCAATTTTATGCCTCATTGCAAATATCATGCCTCCTGCCATGTCCATCTGGGATGAGGCATAAAATTCCTCTGATCCCAATTGCACCACTGTTTTAACATCTTCCAGGGAATGTATTGTTCTATAAAGAAATAAGCAAACCTCAGAAAACTGGGAGGTTCTGCTCAGGGTAAAGGGCTCTGCCAAAAACCTTCACCAGGGTTTTGATTCAGACATAGCTCTACATCAGTCTTCTCTGAAGCTCCCCATGTCATTTCTAGTGCTGCCAGGTTGATTCAGATTAAAAACACATTAGGAAGAACTATGCTTTCTATATTCCTGAATTTGAGCTTTTATGTGGCAGTGAACGAGTGACTTCTAAAAAAGTAACAGATCTTAATAATCGCTACCTGCAATTAATTTTTGGATTGAGTTTGAGTTCCAAGTTATGGATGGTCTTCCTTGTGTTTTAATATATATGATACGGATATTTTATATGAATTAATTTGCATGTCCTTCACATTCAGTAATTTAAAAAATCTACTATGTTCTTTTTTTCACCTATCCATCTTTCTTTTATATAAATTTCTAATTTATCATGCAAATGGAACAGATAAATTAGGAAGCAATAGCTGAACACTGAGGAGGGCTCCCAAGATGAGAAAGTAAAAAACCAACAAGTGATTCAAATAAAACATGGCTGGACATAGCATTTGAGAAGCCATTGTATGGAATAGATTCTCACTTTTGTATGACCTGTGGAGACCTGGGTGGTCCCAGGAGGTTCACTCTGTGCTTAGAGATGGGAGGGGAAGAGGGTAAAAAGGGAAAATGGGTAGCAAAAGCAGTTGATGTAAATGGACAAATAAATGTGCTGTAACAGTGATGGCAGGTAAAAGCCCAAATTCTTGGGCTACAAATTCTTGGTAATTTACTGCCAAACTGCAATGTGGATTTTAAGAGAACATGAGTAACAAAGGAGGTGTTCTGTGCAACAGCCAATAGGAGGAAAAATGATCCAGGTGGCTGCAACTGAGAGGCCAAAGCCATGTGTGATAATCAGACCCTGGGCTCTGCAAGATGTCTTGTGCACTACTTCAGTTAAAACTCAGGTCCCCCTTTAAAGGCTTACAGTGTGGAAATCACTGGAGGATGGGGGTGTGAGTAGGAAATCTCAGGCTACCAAGAAGGGCTGATTTAATTCAGCCCTGGTTGATTTGGATGGATATTATATAATTGCCCGAGTGTAAGGGTGCCTTCCTTAAGTTCTGGAGCTCTCACAGGTGCAACTCTGGTCTCAACTGTGGAATAAATTAAAGGAGCAGTTAACTAAGTAGATAACCAACGTTTGCTGTTCTTTATCCTTAAAATGAGACATATCAACCAAAAGGAATATGTGTGTGTGTGCACACAAATGCATGTGTGTACAATAAACCTGACCTGAAGGTTTGAGAATC